CTAATACCCGAAAGGACATGGCCATCATATATATATATATATATATATATATATATATATATATATAGATGGTTTTTGAATTTGTAGATCTGATGAATTGGATCATGATTACCATTTCAATGTAATAAATTATAACCATGGAATATTAATGTTTGAGCTGAGCCTTATATATATATATATATATATATATATATATATATATATATGTTTCATTGAATATAAGAGATAAGGAAAATTTAATTTTTGATTTAGTTTTTACAGCATTCTAACATTTTTCCGTTTGGTGGCAGTAGAAATATATCTAAGAATGCTGAAAAAACGAAATAGAAAAAATGAATGACATTTTCCTTGTCTGTCATATTCAACGAAGCATGTTTTAAAAGAAAAGTTGCTGTCCATATATATATATATATATATATATATATATATATATATATATATATATATATATATAATAAACAAATAAATCCAAAATACCTCATTATTTCCTGCCTCATCTAATTTTATAGACATGAACTCATGCCACACCGAGGTTGACAAGAGAGACGACCGATATTATCTTCTGCCGAAATAGGCTATTCCCTATATGGGTTAATTTTGGATTTATTTGTTTATTAATTATATATCTCTGTATTAATAAATACACCGAACTCTTTTTTGTGGATCAGTTTTAATATTTTATATTACTGGGATCTGTATTATATACCAACGTATTTTTTACATTTACTATATACATATATGAATAAATTAATCTGCACATATAGTTTTTAGCCATTGTGATTTGTTGGTATGTTGTTCAATAAAGTTTATATCGAAAAAAATTGTCGTTTATTTTTACTCCATAAACCGAATAAACATTTTAAAATATATTACGATTTTCGAATTGACTTTATTCCTGAATTTTAAACGTTTCTTTATTCAGAAATAGTTTTCTAAAAAACATATAATTTTTTTTCCTTTTAAGTAGAATAGCACTTACTTGTTGCTTATTTAAAAAAAAAATAGTCCGAGTATTATGATTTTTATTGCGTTATAATTTAACATCAATTTAATCGTGCATCTAACGTAAAATCATAAAAGAAAAGTGCAGCTCTCCGCTACGAGAAAAATAAACTCAAAACCAAAGAACAAAAACAAGCATAAAATATCAACAACTAAATATTTAATTAATAGATAATAAAAAATATCGATTCCGTTATTAACAGAAAATAAAAAAAATATCGATTCAGTCATCGAGAATAGACTTACGTATTATTGTTAAATTTTTAAGAGTATTTCTTTCATCTTATTTCTATTTTCTATCACGACTTTCATTCATTCAAATATTATCAACTACGGTAATTGAAACTAAAGAATAAGCCTCCAGCAAGATTAAAATTCATATCCATTCCTCTTGTGAAATCTCCTTGTTCGAGAGCAGCTGCCTTACCGATTAAGTCATCGGCTACAGAATCCTAAAAGCTTTTATCCTTTATTTATCTTCGAACGCTTGATATAGTGATTTTCTAAGCGTAGCTTACATGTGGCACAAAGCCGAAAAGATGAAGCGCCCAGTGGGGATCGAACTCACTATTCAATCGTAACTGATCTAGCGAGACAAGCCGAACGCTTGATAAGATAAATATCAAAACCAATAAGTTATTTGTTTCTCAATTTTTGGGTGACTTTATTTTATATTGCCTTATATCTATTTATAATTAATTTCACTAAAAAACGCCAGATGCTTACTCCTCGTCAAATTCTACAAGAAAGAGTATCGTCACTGGATGCCACATATAAACATTCGACATTAAGTAACTCAAGACATTGTCATAAAATGACGCTACCTAATCTAACAAAATTTATTTTTGTTCGTTAATCAAATTTAGATAATCGAAATATAAATTTTAAATATTTTCAGCCCCATTATTCCATATATTTGTTTGCTTACTGGGCTGTTTTTAATTCGACTTTTCGACGGATACACTCTTTAACATTTTTCAGAAAAATGCATCTTCTCTTTAGAATTTGTGTATTTGTTACTTTTTTGACTTTTTTTTTTAAAATCTTTTCGAGCGTATTGAAAACACTTCATCCCAGAAACTTAGAAAACAAACCGCTTAGTGTTGTTCTTAAGCAACACTAAAACTAGTTTCCCTTTGCAATTTAAGTTTTCTCTTCAGGTTTTGTTTTCACCAATACTTTGCATAATACTTTATGCATAATACTTTATTTAAATTCTTATGCATCGGGCTTATAAACTTGAACCCGACTATTTCGGGGTCTGAATTTGAGAGATGGTGCTACATTTATTGGAAAACCCTTTTTTTAAATCTAAGTATGTGATTCAAAATTAGTGTAAATTAAGATAAAAGTTCATAAATTTTTTTTCAGCATTGCTAACACGTTGATGAAGACAAACATTGCTTCGAGCTACAAAAAATAGGAACTTGTAGAAATCCATGATCACCCACGTCCTGATAGGATATGGTACATAAAAAAAGAATAATGTGTGAATATGAAATTTAAGAATAATGGCAGAGTTTTAATTTTTTTTTCTGTAAAATATTTTCTTTTACACTTTCCGGATTAGCGAAGTTTAACAATGCAATTCTTTTCTGAAATGCATTTGTGTACAAGTGTATTTATATGTTACCGAAAAAAAATTCAGTTGCTTATATGTAGGAAATTTTGCATGAATATAAGTTTAACTGATAGATATTTAATATTGACTTGGATGATAGATTTGTTTGTTTGTCTATTTATTTGTTTGTTTGTTTATTTATTTGTTTGTCTATTTATTTATTTGTTTGTTTATGTACTTATTTGTTTGTCTATTTATTAATTATTTATTTGTTTATTTGTTTGTCTATTTACTTATTTGTTTGTCTTATTTACTTATTTGTTTCTTTATTTATTTAATTGTTTATTTATTTATTTGTTTATTTATTTAATTTTTTATTTATTTGTTAATTTATTTGTTTGTTTATTTATTTCACTAATTATTGTTCTTAATCTTATGATAACTAAATTATAAATTAAACTTACTCATATGTAAATACAGAAAAGTAACTATTATCTGCGGTTTCAGTTATCTCCTGAGGGTCTCGGAACAATATCCCCAAGGATAAGAGAACTTAATGATAGACATATATATATAGTTAGATACACAGGTAAACAAGTGGATAGATAAATAGGTAGGTATGTAGATGCTGGGGAGTTGAATGAAAATTATTCCCAATATTACAGTGACATCATTTTTTGTCACTTCTGTTCGGCTTAGGACCAGAGTCTACCAGTGGTCGATGGTTGAGTCATGCCAAACGTTATGTTTTATGAATACTCATATCCGAGTAGAAGCTTTGTATTTTAATTAAACAGTATTTTTTTAAAAAAATTAAACAGCATTTTTTATCCAACTACATTCTACCGGCCTAAATATTCTAGAAATTGTGTCAGAAAATATACGTCCGCCGGCAGGATTCGAACTTGTATCTCCTATGGGGACCGGAAGTCCTACGTGACTGAGCGGTCAAGCACGTCAGAGATAATGACGGCTCCACTTATAATATTGGGTGCGGGTTCGAATCCTGCCGGAGGGCGCATATTTTTCTGGCAAGACTTCTGGAATATTCGGGCCAGTAGATGTAGTTGGATAAAAGATCCTGTTTAATTAAAAAAAAATACTGTTTAATTAAAATACAGAGCTTCTACTGAAATATGAATATTCATAAAAAATAACGTTTAAACAAAATAAATTAAAAATAACAACTTTATTCTAAAAAAAAAAAAACCCAAAAAAACCCCAGTACAATTACATTTCATTCAATTATATAATCACCAGAATTATCAATGATTCGTTGTCATTTATCTTCGATAAATTTTAAGTAATAATTCCCAGGCTTCGATGGGACGATATTTCGACGAACTCTTGAATTTGGTTTTCATTAGAGAAAGTTTCCAAGCGTTTAGCAACGATCGGAAATGGTAATAATCGCTTGGTGCAATGTCAGATGAATATGACGGGTGGCGGAGGACAGACTAATCGAGATTTTTCCTTTATTCCTCTTGTTGTATACGTTTTTGTGTTGTTATGGAAGAGAATAATATTTTTCATTTAATCCACAGTGTACGCTGCCATTGCCGCGCAAAATATTATGTTAGTGTACGTCAAATCTATTCCTAACTGTCACGTATGATTAATAGATAGGGTGATACATTCATCATTACAACTGGTTCCCCGGGGTGGTAGCAGCTGTTAGGGTCCCACAACTCACAATTAAAGTATAAAATACATTTTTATATTTAAAAATTACCACCAATATATTTTTGCAAAAGAAATTACTAATGCTCACAAGAAAATTAAATTTTGGCATTAAATGACCCATAAAGTGTTGATATGCCGCTAAACAAAGCAACAAACAAACATTTTATCTACAAACTATATATCGAAAAAAACATACGTTTACCTTGAAAGCATAAACTTATATACAAGATATTTAGATTTCGGCATTAAATAACTTATAGAATCTTACATGCCGCTAAACAAAATCAACCAATCAACCAACAATTGGTTCCCCAAAACGGAAATTACTTATAACTCAACCTAATATATAGCAATAAATAGGTGAACAGGTAGATACACAGATAGGTATTGCTGCATAATATTTAATACACAAATATTATTACTTTTTTGTTTCAAGATTAACAAACCTGTCTTGATGAAAGATTTTTTAAAATTACATTTGAATAATTAAAAGTCTATGCTCTCCGTTCTAATCTCATTTGTATAATTCTAAAATATATCCAACATTTCTATTAATCAAGTAACAAACGATTTATGGCCACTAAGATCATCATGTTCTTTACTGCATATTATTCAAAGTAAAAAATACAAGTGAAGTAAACATTGCAATACTTTCAGCACACAATTACTGTTGTAATATGAATCATTACTAGACGACGAAGGTAAGTCACAAAGAGGCTGCCAGGAGAAAGTGTTGGCTGTGAGCTTTTAACTGATGGGAATCAGACCTGTAAGTAATTGCTGGCATAAAAAGCATTGTGTGTAAGAAATACTGCCGTATACTGAAGTTTATTATGTGTTCGTGTGAAAAGACTTGTAAATCTTTTTGTGACGAGAGAAAGAAATAATGATGAGAAATAGATAATGGTGAGAGAGAGAGAGAGATGATAATGAGGAGTGAGATAGATAATGATGAGATAGATAATGATAGATAGATAGATCTATTTCCGTCCGCTAATTTTGAAAGTCTGAAGCAAAGTTTTATATACGTAGTACCACAAAATTATTAGCGGACAAGAAGAGATCAATGTATCTATCTCTCATCATTATCTATCTCTCTCTCTCATCATTATATATCTATCTGTTTCTCTCTCATCATTATCTATTTCTCATTGTTATTTATCTCTCATCATTATCTATTTTTCATCATTATCTATCTTTCTTTCTCTCATCATTATCTATTTCTCATCATTATGTCTCTCTCTCTCATCATTATCTATTTCTCATCATTATGTCTCTCTCTTTCTCATCATTATGTCTCTCTCTCGTCATTATCTATTTCTCATCATTATGTCTCTCTCTCTCATCATTATCTATTTCTCATCATTATGTCTCTCTCTCTCTCATCATTATGTCTCTCTCTCTCATCATTATCTATTTCTCATCATTATGTCTCTCTCTCTCTCATCATTATCTATTTCTCATCATTATGTCTCTCTCTCTCTCTCATCATTATGTCTCTCATTCATCATTATCTATTTCTCATCATTATGTCTCTCTCTCTCATCATTATCTATTTCTCATCATTATGTCTCTCTCTCTCTCTCTCTCATCATTATGTCTCTCTCTCGTCATTATCTATTTCTCATCATTATGTCTCTCTCCCTCATCATTATCTATTTCTCATCATTATGTCTCTCTCTCTCATCATTATCTATTTCTCATCATTATGTCTCTCTCTCTCTCATCATTATGTCTCTCTCTCATCATTATCTATTTTTCATCATTATGTCTCTCTCTCTCATCATTATCTATTTCTCATCATTATATCTCTCTCTCTCTCTCATCATTATGTCTCTCTCTCTCATCATTATCTATTTCTCATCATTATGTCTCTCTCTCATCATTATCTATTTCTCATCATTATGTCTCTCTCTCTCATCATTATCTATTTCTCATCATTATGTCTCTCTCTCTCTCATCATTATGTCTCCCTCTCATCATTATCTATTTCTCATCATTATGTCTCTCTCTCTCTCTCATCATTATGTCTCTCTCTCTCATCATTATCTATTTCTCATCATTATGTCTCTCTCTCTCTCTCATCATTATGTCTCTCTCTCGTCATTATCTATTTCTCATCATTATGTCTCTCTCTCTCATCATTATCTATTTCTCATCATTATGTCTCTCTCTCTCTCTTCATTATGTCTCTCTCTCATCATTATCTATTTCTCATCATTATGTCTCTCTCTCTCATCATTATCTATTTCTCATCATTATGTCTCTCTCTCTCTCTCATCATTATCTATTTCTCATCATTATCTATTTCTCATCATTATGTCTCTCTCTCTCATCATTATCTATTTTTCATCATTATGTCTCTCTCTCTCATCATTATCTATTTCTCATCATTATGTCTCTCTCTCTCATCATTATCTATTTCTCATCATTATGTCTCTCTCTCTCTCTCATCATTACGTCTCTCTCTCGTCATTATCTATTTTTCATCATTATGTCTCTCTCTCTCATCATTATCTATTTCTCATCATTATGTCTCTCTCTCTCATCATTATCTATTTCTCATCATTATGTCTCTCTCTCTCATCATTATCTATTTCTCATCATTATGTCTCTCTCTCTCTCTCATCATTATGTCTCCCTCTCGTCATTATCTATTTCTCATCATTATGTCTCTCTCTCTCTCTCTCATCATTATGTCTCTCTCTCGTCATTATCTATTTCTCATCATTATGTCTCTCTCTCTCTCTCATCATTATGTCTCCCTCTCTCATCATTATCTATTTCTCATCATGTCTCTCCCCAATATTTATTTCTCATTATTATCTATCTATCTATATCCCATCCTTATGTATATCTCTCCCATGATTATCTATCATCATTATCTATCTCTCATTAATATCTATATCTCTCCCATCATTATCTATCTATCTTTCTCTCTCATCATTATCCATCTATTTATTTATATCATTATCTACCTATATCCCATCATCATCTATATCTGTCTATTGCATTTAATTCTTTTCTATCCCAATGTATATCAATAGATTTAAAGATATGTAGACATAAATATCACTATCTATTTATCTATCTATCTATCTATCTATCTGTGCGATAGAAGAAACTGTTAGCATAGAACTTACGGTTACATCTAGTTTTACGTTTAAAATGATGAACCACTGCCGCCAATCTAGTACTGCACTTAAATTCACAGTCTAGTTTCATAGAGAAAATTTCCTCAGAACAATTAACATAAAAGTATTTATAGAACAGGCACATTATGGCGGTTGGAAAGTGACTGATAGTGAGATGCCACATCAGGACCAATAACATTGCAGATTCTTCTTTGTATTTTATTAAGAACCTCTAAATGTCTAACAGAAGCAGCAGACAAGATGAGAGCAATATATATATATATATATATATATATATATATATATATATATATATATATATATATATAAACCGTTTTAATTAATATTAAATTTTACTATAAAATTCAATTCATATATATATATATATATTGCTGACACATCCGGTCTATTTAAAATTGATAATTTTGAATTTTATAGTAAAATTTAATATTAATTAGTTAGAATGATTTCTATTTGAGCCTAAGCCTAATATTAAAGCATTAATTATTATAACCAATGTTCGTTGTCAAGTTTTTTGAATTCACATATACTTGTATTTTGATTAGTCATTCCAGCTTATGTAACAGCGTTTCCCCTATGGAGGGGTGTTTGATTGATTTGAATCTTTTCAAACCTTTTATTCTATATTCAACACCAACACTTGATAAGACACCAGAAAGTGTAAAAAAACAAAAAAACAAAATGGTTATTTTTGTAGTGATTTTATAACATATTTATGTTATAATTTTCGAATAAATTATATTTGCTCTACTCTGTATTGAGCACTCTTTTAAGAATAGTATTTTTTGGTTATTGGAATTTATTCCGTATACACCAATCCTATACTTGATTATATATATATATATATATATATATATATATATATGAAGCATGTTTTCATTGAGACATGCTTCGTTGAATTTAGACATATTTTGTCAATTTATTTTCAATTGGATCTTTCATATTCACGGATAAGCTTTTTGGTGTCGTTAATGAAGCATGAGAGAAAATCGCCGTGTAGATCCATATTTCTTTTATTCAATATTCCACAAATGTTTTAAAATGTGTACAATAGTTTGAAATACGAAGCGATAACGAACTGACTCAGCGTTCTTGCTTCTACAAGTAAGAAATGTAACTTTTTGATGAACACAACAATTTTGTTTACGACAATAATGAACAGTACAATATTTGTCTTGCAATAAGCAATACCCTGATGATGGTACTGTCCTATGTTGAAAGTACTCGTAATAAAAGAATTATGTATCAACACGCCGATTTTCCCTTGTCCTTCAATAATGACATTAAAAAGCTTATCCCTGAATATGAAAGGATCCAATTGAAAATAAGTAGACAGGACATGTCTAAATTATTCAACTAAACATGTCTCAATATATATATATATATATATATATATATATATATATATATATATATATATATATATATGAATGAATTGAGACACGTTTAGTTGAATGGGTTATTAAAACATTAAAAAGATAAAATGCCGATAAGTAATTCATCATTTCTCTTGGACCAACCTTAACTGTTTTATGACCCTTCGCGCAGAACTCTTCATTGCCAATTCAAGAAAGACATTCGGATTACTAACACAAAAACAGAGAATGTCTCATATCGAGAATGTTCAACATTGAAAAACATAGGGAAAAAATTAATTATTTTTAATAATATGTGGAAATCTCCGCTTTTACCTGAAGACGGTCACGAGACCAGAAACACGTGTAGTAAAATTATGGAAAATAAAGCATAATATTTAAAAAAAAAAAATCCACATTACAACCAAAAACGTTTGCGGCACCTCTCTTTTCTTTTTAATATACACACTTTTCTCTCGTTGGAACCATATATATATATATATATATATATATATATATATATATAAAAGAGAGAGAGAGAGAGAAAGAGAGAGAGAAAAAGAGAAAATCTTTACTAATAAAATAAAAAAGACCATATTTCATAAACAAAAGCATTAAACTTAAATAAGCAACTTTACACCAATATTTTTTAGCAAATTTAGGAACAAACATAGTAAATATATTTAAATAAACAAACAAAAAACAGAAACAAAAAACAAAACCGACACGACAGAGACTGATATGTAAAGATACGATGCTATACAAAACTGACATGACGAAAAAACTTGAAAAAAAGGTGAAAATGACATTGATATTTTCTCCAGAAACCCAAAAAAATTATCCGAAAAAAAAAAAAACTTGACATGGAAATTTCGTTGGTCTTTAAACAAACTTTATATATATATATATATATATATATATATATATATAAAAGGCATTTTTATGTTTATACATTCTTTTTATAGATACAAATACTTAAGTATATGCTCTATTTATAATGAATAGCATTTACCGGCCTGAATGTCCGAGAAATTTTCATATAAAAATATTAGTCCTCCGACAGGAATCGAACGTGTATCCTATACGGAACCGTCATATAGCCTGACATGCCTTAACCTATTGGGCCACAGAGGGTAGTTCGGTTAGCAAGGTCGATTTTACTGCTTTTAAACTACAATTTTCCATGATTCTCTCACCTACATTCATATCTGATCAATGCGTAGAGAAATGTAAAAAAAATGACGTCACACATTATGAAATGGACAAAGTCCGACAATTATTTTAAGACATTTTTATAAAAAGAATGTATAAACATAAAAATGTCTTAAAATAATTGTCGGACCCACCTCTCTCGGCCATATCGACAAGATAAAAAAGAATGCAACGCATTACATTTGGGGACGGCTTGATTGCAGGAGTAAAGTAACAGCCAACCGCCTTCAGGGCTTCACTACGGGTTTTCAATCTGGATTTACTTTCATAGACTTTTCCGTGTTTGAATATGACCGCAAGGCAGCGGAAGTTTAAAATCAGCGTTTTTCTTCCCCTAGGTGATCTACCGGAAGCAGCTGGTTATGAGGCGCCATTTTTAAACTTTCGCCCATTCTGAGACTTGCAACTGGATTTCGTTGTTAGAAGCAATTTTAGACGCATGTCACGGAAGCATTTTATAGACAGTGGCAGCTTGTCTCCACTATTACCGCCGGCTATAACAACCTTTGGTATATATATAATATACGTATATAAACATTACATACATTATAAAAACAAAAAACAAAACAAAAAATTCTTTATAATCTGCATATATTCCCCATGAGACATAAGACAAACACACTTTAAGAGTGAAATTCCTAGTAACAGATACGTCTGAAAGATGTCTATGAAAATGCCTCAAAATGCAAGTTTTGAATAATTCTAGTACTATGTGCATGCATGCATGCATATGTGTGTGTGTGTGTCCTTCAGAAGTTTTCTTTGGGATTTCTTTCTTCCGATGTTGAACATGGAATAAATAAATAAATATTGCATTAAGAAAGTATCCAATTCCGAATTTAAACTCAGATAACTCACATCAACTACCGCTTCTTTTTACGGATTAATTTCTTCTTTGAATTTCGAAAAACCAAATATAGAACATATGTATTTTTTCTTGCCCGCTTGGCGAATGTTTCTCAAATAATAATAAACATTTAAATAACTTATACATTACTTACACAATTACCATACTGTCTCGTATATTAACTTGCCATTTATCTGATAATACATGATTTACATTAGTCGGACTATTGTCCTCATCTTTGTCGCCATAGTTTCGGCCGTTGTACGCTCCGGCCTTCTTCAAGGGGTTGGAATTTCAAACTGAACCCTTTATTTCGCTGGTAGACTGTTCTAGTTCCACGTGCCACGGTTAATTTTACCTCTGAAAGTTCTCCACTGCCTTAACCGGGTATTGAACTCATACTCTTTGGGTCTGTCACTGGATCTAAAAAACGCCACTGTGCCATGTGTCCTTGAGGACATCTGGGTATGAATTTCTGGGTATTATAAACCTAATGTTTTCATCAATCATTTTTTACCAGTGCTCATATTGCAATTTTGCTATTATCATTGCATGTTTTTACCAGAGTTCATATTGCAACTTTGTTATCATTGCTTTTCTCTGGCACTCCTTATTACTGGTTCCCATATTGTATTTATTTCTATGCTTGGTCGGCTCAGGAGATTTTTGTGGCCTAGCATATGTGCTGATTCCTTAAGTTTACGAATTTTCCAATGGTGTTCCCTGTCTATGATCTCAACATGATCCCACAGGGGACGGTGATCTCCCATCTCTCTCCATATGTGGTCCGCCACGCCTGATTTTTCTACTTCCCCTCGCGTTACAGCTTTCTGGTGTTCTTGAAGCCTTACCTTTATAATATAAAAACATCTTGAAGCTATCTATATTAAAAAATTGAAAGCAGCCCTTAATAAAATTAATTATGAATATTGCACAAATATTTTTAAATGTTTGCAGTAGATAGTTTAAAATATATAGATTTTAACTAATACTTTTTTTTTTTAAACGTATGGGCATTTCAAACTTAGTTCCCTCCTCTGAGGTTTCAAACGTGAAATTTAAAGCGTACAATATATAACCTTAGCGTTTTTCACTTAACAGTTAAAAAACATTTAACTTTCAGATGAACACAATTTTGTCTTAGAAAAAACAACACCACCTTTTGTACTAATGTCAAAAGTGCTCGGAATGTATGAAAATGTATCAAAATGGCAATTTTATCTCTTCCCTTAATAAGGACACTAAAAAGATTGTTCGTGAATATGAGAGGATCCTACTGAAAATAAGTACACAAAATATGTCTAAATTATTCAATGAAACATATATATATATATATATATATATATATATATATATATATATATATATATGAACATTTTTAAGTCAACAATTAGAGGCAACAGTCTGTTTCATGCTAGATGCAATCGTCAGGTGGCCTGACGATTGCATCTATCATGAAACAGACTGTCGCCTCTAAGTGTTGACTTCAATGTTCACTTTTATATTTTACACACGCTCTATCTCTGATATTGAACACTTTATACCATAAATATAGCACACCTTAAGACTATATTTCTTTATATATATATATATATATATATATATATATATATATATATATATAGTGATTGCAACTTAGATGAGAACCGCCCCCACCTCATTTGTGATCGCTTCTGGCTAGTTTTGTTGTCCATGTCCCCTAAGATGACACTTGGAACCAGCCTTTGATCTCATGGGTATCATGCATATATGACAGATAAACTCTGTATCCCTGATTGGGTTGATTGGATACGCATGTCCTCCAACTCTCCTGTGTACCACCATGCGCCTTCTCAGTCCAGATGATGACCTGCAAACATTGTTGCAATACACAGGTATTGTTGGCAGGAGGATGAGGTAGATTAACATAGTCAACTTGATTCTGGTTGTCATGATGACCTTTCAGATGGTTTACATAGCCTGCCCTCAACAACAGGATGCAATCACATACACCACATTTACAAGACTGCATATTAGATCTTCGGATATCACGTTTGAAACCTGAGACATTCATTATCAAAGGCATAATAAAGTTTTTCCACTGTATACGATTTTAAATCAGTTCTTCCTAATGCTGCACATCTATGCTTGTGTTGTGGACGCTTTCCCGTCTTCAGTTCCGCGTAGAAAAGTTGTTTGGGGATCTTGTTATCCCCCATTCTCATAACGTGTTCTGCTCGTCGCATCTGGTTGAGGATTACTGTTGTTACAGTGTTGTTGCATTCAGATCTTTAATCCATCTTGGGTATGACGATAAACTACAACCGCGTCCTCGGTAAGACGATAAACTACGTCCAACAGTAAGGCCTCTGATCAAGAGGTTTTGAAGAGCGTGGAACCACCTCTTAATTGCTGGTGTTCCCAGGTCCACCTTGACAAGGGGTGGTAGCACCTGTTAGGGTCTCAGCAAGGGGGAAATAGTTAACCCCCAAACTGGGGTCAAAACATTATATGTGTAAAAATAGGTTTTAATACCAGAAATACTTTGTAAAAAAATTATTACCAGCAATACATTTTGGAAAAAAAATACCAATGAAGGAAAATTATTACCAGAAATAGATTTTTGAAGGAAAATATATTACCAGGAATAGATATTTGAAGGAAAATATATTACCAGGAATAGATTTTTGAAGGAAAATATATTACCAGGAATAGATTTTTTGAAGGAAAATATATTACCAGGAATAGATTTTTGAAGGAAAATATATTACCAGGAATAGATTTTTTGAAGGAAAATATATTACCAGGAATAGATTTTTGAAGGAAAATATATTACCAGGAATAGATTTTTGAAGAAAAATATATTACCAGAAATAGATTTTTGAAGGAAAATATATTACCAGAAATAGGTTTATGAAGGAAAATATATTACCAGGAATAGATTTTTTGAAGGAAAATATATTACCAGGAATAGATTTTTGAAGGAAAATATATTACCAGGAATAGATTTTTGAAGGAAAATATATTACCAGGAATAGATTTTTTGAAGGAAAATATATTACCAGGAATAGATTTTGGAAGGAAAATATATTACCAGGAATAGATTTTTTGAAGGAAAATATATTACCAGGAATAGATTTTTGAAGGAAAATATATTACCAGGAATAGATTTTTGAAGAAAAATATATTACCAGAAATAGATTTTTGAAGGAAAATATATTACCAGAAATAGGTTTTTGAAGGAAAATATATTACCAGGAATAGATTTTTGAAGGAAAATATATTACCAGAAATAGGTTTTTGAAGGAAAATATATTACCAGGAATAGATTTTTGAAGGAAAATATATTACCAGGAATAGATTTTTGAAGGAAAATATATTACCAGGAATAGATTTTTGAAAAAAAAAAATAATACCAACAAGGAAAATTTTGTCACAGATAGAAAAAGAAGCCTAGATTAATATCTATTTGCTTTACGTGAACATGTGTGTTCGTCACCTCATGTCTGGCTTATGGCCATATCACGTTGAAACACCGGTTCTCGTACGACCACCGAAGTCAAGCAAGGTATGTAACTAGATTGGTGACCGCTTGGGAATGTCAAGTGTTGTAACCTCGGAAGGTGCGGATGGTGTAATAACGCTCGGAATTGGAAATAGGAGAGTCGAGTTCCAATTTAAGTCAGGTTCGTTATATTAAGTTACGTGATAATAACCTTGGGGATGGTATGAATCCCTTTCTTTTTCCCCCAGCTATGAGTTAATTAGTAAAACTTGTATCAGTAAATTATTACTATCTCTAAAAGATTCTTACGTGTTAGAAATACTCTCTGGCTTTAAATAACCTACAAAAGGTAGATAAACCGTAAAAGCAAACCAATCAATCAATCAATTAATCAGATTATGTCAAATATATTTAAAACTTTATATATTTATAAATATATTTAAAATAAATACATTTAAAACTTTACAAAATTAAACCCATTCTAGGAGACAGGCATCATGGACTCAGACTTTCTCGGGTGGAAGAAAGCGTCCTCTTACGAATCAGAATAGGATGCATCCATGTCACTTACTCATTTCTAAACTAATAAAAAAAATCCCTCAGAAAGCACAGCCATCTATGAGACGTAATGTAAAATATATTCTATCCGACTGTATGAGTTGAGCCTTTCCCCTATGCATCAACGATTTTATGACATGAGTCTAGAGGACCTTTTCAAGAAGATAAAAGTGGAGACTATCCTAACCTCCTTGAAAGAGGTTGGTCTATACCGCAGGTTATAGCCTTAAATAACTCCGTTACAAAGGCATAACTTTGGTGGGATGAAACACAAAGGATTGTTTACAAGCCATATATTTAATAAAAGAAAGTCTTTTTGGTATTAAACATCAAAGAGAGTTGATATGCCATTAAAACAGAACACACAATCAATCAACAAATATATTAAATAAAAATCTAACTCTTATAAATGAAAAGGATTCAAAAACTGCTACTCTGCTTCTTTTGAACTCTCGAAAAATGTAACAACAAACAATAAAATAACCAGCAGAAGGAATCGAAACTGCAACTCTTCTGTCAGTAATTTTAACATTAATACCTGAGTGCAATCTTTTCTCAATCTCCAAAGCATTTCTATTGTAAAATTATTTAGCATTACTATGACAACATTATTTGCAATGGACATCGATAGGAACATCATTAACAGCGCAATTTTACATTGTACATAAAATAGCACTATTCTGTCAGTTACGCCTGCAATGATTCCTGATCCATGACAGTCCTTTTCTGATTTTCAGTGCACTTATATAATAAAATCACTAGCAATGCATTTAAATCATACATGTAATAGCCTTATTTTACTGCTAATAATTGCATTAAATTTTGACCACTGATGATATATTTCTTCATGACTTTCAATGCACTTCAATTGTAAAATCATTTACATTTCAAATGCAAATCTTTTGTCGAATCATTTGCAATGCATTTTAGCTGTAGAATTATTTACATTTCAAATGCAAATCTTCTGTCGAATCATTTGCAATGCATTTTATTTGTAAATCATTTACCATGCCCCCTAACAGTACAATTATTTAAAAACAATTTGAAACCATTTACAATGCATTATCAAACAATTAAGAAGGTAATTCTATTAAAGGACCAATTTTAGAACCGTTTCACCCCAAGCAAGATGATAATGCCGCTATGACGTAAAGGATTACTGGGAGAGGAAGAGAATGAGAAGACTTTAGTGAAATCAAAACACAATAAGAGAACAGGATTCAGGAAGACAGAAGATTGCAATTCTCACATTTAATTTCTTGAAGATTGTAGTTAACAGGGAAGAAATAAATCGAAATAGAATTCAACAGGTGAGAAAAGTCAGAAAAACATATTTGAATAAAACATACGGTTACATCTAGCTATATTAACAGTAAAATGATGACACCTAATTGCCAATTGCTCATTACAACAACTTCTATGAAAATATTTATAAAAAAGACAGAGGGAAGCCACGTCACGATAACATTACAAACTTTTCATTAGATTTTGTCGAGAATCTCATTTTTTATCAATTCATTTTCTACACCTTATCAAAAATTTGCAGGTTATTTAAAGCCAGGAAATATTTTTAGATTGTAAAATTTATTTTTAAATCATTTCACCCCAAGCAAGACGGGAGTGTCACTAGTACGCAGGGGGTTCCAGAGAGTGAAAGTGAGAGAAAAGACTAGGTATAGGGTGGACCGAGGAAAGGATAAAAGATGAAAAGGGTTCTCTAACACTTTCACCCCAGCCCCACAACCTCTGACGTCTTACTCTCTGGGTTGAGGTGTCTACTCGGTCCTAACCGAACTTAAGCGAGTGGCCGTAGGTACCCTGATCATCCGTAGATTATTCGACCGGTCCCCTGGTTTAATCTTGCTTGAATTGATGCTCATTCATTCACAGTCGACTGAAGATGTAGACACGGCTGGAGAGTCTGCGCTAAGAAATTTAGAATGCAGCAAAAAAAAAAAAAAAAAAAAAAAATAATATCTGCAGAAAGCCGGACAAACAACTATTCAATGATTGAATCGTTAATTTCGTTTATATATCAGAAAAGAAAAGTAATTGACGTAAAAACGCATACACTGGATTGAGAGAGAGAGAGAGAGAGAGAGAGAGAGAGAGAGAGAATATGTTATGATTAACAAATGTTATGATTGTTGTTAAATCGTCTCAGAACGATATACGACTCTTGCGATGGGGGAATAAGATTTCTGTGCGTGGCTTAAAGTTTATAGTAGCGTTCCTCCTTAGCAGCAGTAACAGTAGTAGTAATATTCGTGGTAGCAGAAGCAGCGGTACTTATATCAACAGTACATGTTAGCGGACGCTTCGTTCCAATCTCTGACGTTACGTTCTCTCCTTCTTGAGTCTTCAACTCGACTCTCCACTGTCTCTAGCCCAACTCTTTCCCAGGCTAATTCTCTTCCGTCATCCTCTTTTTCAGCATAACTATGCGTTTATATATAAAAAATCCGGATGGTTACATCTGAACCTTGGCCCTACTACTTCGCACGTGATGATCACGGGGTTTTGGCTGTTTCAACCAAAATCATGTAAATTCTAAAGGTCCTCCTTGTTTATTCAACTCTATTCCAAGTTTTAAACAATAAAAATTATTTCGACCATTTCCATTGTCTGTTAATAACGCAGTTCCAATGGGTACAGCTCCTGACCTAGATCAGATTTCCCATCAGTAAACGAAATGCTCTGATCAATTTCGCTAGTCCAAATCTACTCCAATTTCCCTAATATATATATATATATATATATATATATATATATATATACCTGTGTGTGTGTGTGTGTGTATTTCCCAAACTCTCTCTGTCACATTTAAGACAAAAGAAGATGGAGATTGACGTTGAGATAATAATAATTTAGAGATACAGGTCTTACTCATTAATCCATAGCTGGAGGGGGAAGCAGCGGATTCATATCCTTACCAAAGGTATTTGCCCGTAAGTGAATATAACGAGCCCAACTGGGATTGGGCTCTCCGATTAACAATTCCGTACGAGTACCGGTGTTTCAACGTGATATGGTCGTAAGCCAATTATATCAAGATATATAGCCAGAGTACCAGAGCAGATATAACAGCAATATTCAGTGGACAGACAAATGGGAGATTTATAAATGTGCGAGAAAATTTGTCTCGTACAACAGTCAACAAACTTTCCTAGCAGTGGAACCAGCAATTGATTCAATAAATTTACAATGTAGCAAATCATATACAATAGATTTCGATTACAAAACATTTACAAGACATTTTTTAAATAGTAAAACAATTTATTAATATTTTTTTAAGCATTACGCCCCGAGCAAGGCGTGAAGCCACTAGGATGCAGGGGGTTGCAGAATATTTGGAGCATGAGCAGATAGGAGTGATAGAAGAAAGGATGAGGAAAAGGATAGTGGGTAGATCAAGGTAACTGGAGATGTCGATTGACATTACATTTGAATAGTTGGAGATTATAGCTCTCAGGGAAACAGTTATAGGGAAGGGTGTTCCACAGGCGAGAGGTGCGAGACATGAGGCTATTAGAGTAGAAGAGGTGGCTACATTTAAAAGTTTGTACATTGAAAGGGTTAACATTATTCTTTTAGTGACACTAGTTTTAATTCAAGACTAATGATAACTCCTTTATGTTTAATTTCAATGTCCAACATACAAAGATGACGAAGTGACGAAATCTAAATGCAAATATATCTCAAGTTTGAATGCGCTAAAACAAAATAGTAATTTATAATTAATTTTTTTCTTAACCCGGTATTTTCTCGGTCACCAAGTATGTAATTATTATAGTTGATAGAAGTTATACGGTATTTATTTAATAAATTCTATCCTTGATACTGTGAAATACATTAAAAGTATTAACGAATTTTGTAACGCATTTCCATAGTAAAATAATTTGTTATGCTTTTATATAGTAAAATACTTTCCAGTTGATTTATATATGTGCTTTTAGCATCTACTACGACTGTATAAGTTCGTCTGTAATCAGTAGAGTGAATGAAAGTTTTTAGATCGTAGGTTACATAAACAGCTGGTTATAGCAATTGCACATTGGACGGGCGCCACTTATCAGTTCACTGCAACAGACAGCATTGGGCAAATCACTTTTTAAGTACCTATTTACTTTGACGCTCGCCGTGAACAACTTCCAGACCTGTACCATCTTCTTCAGGACGTAGGCGATCATGACCCTCCAAATCTTCCAGTTTCTTGTAGCTTTTAATAAGATTTGTCTTTTTTATTTATTTCTCCCAAACCCCGTTCTGCTATCCTTTTACTCAAGCTCATCAAATATGTCACGCGTTGCTTTCATCTGTCTCTCCTTCCCTCAATCTGTGAGTATCAGCTTTTCCAAGCCCTCCTCCCTCTACGTACCCCAGAAATTTTAACTGCCTCTTCTTGATGTTAAGTATAAGTTTCCTTTTTGTTTCCATTTTCTCTAAATCCTCGTTGTTGCTCACATGTTCTGTCCATGATATCTTCAACATTTCTGTTGCTTCAAGTCTCTTCTTCATCTTTGAAGAGATTGTTTAGCATTCGCTCCCATA